TGAGCACGTCCTCCACATGCCCGCTTGTTGGTATTTTGCAATCGCCTGCTTGTGGTATCGAGCATCATCTCGGGTTGCTACCTTGCTTTGTTGATTCTCCTTCATTGCCACCACCGCTCGTTTTTCCACCTTGTTGTTCAACCTCTCTCACTCGCGAAGGGGAGAAATAGGGGTTACGGTTATCAGAGACACACATTATGCCTCTACCTATCTCGTGTCAGGCACCCAATGATTTTCTGCAAGTGCACATGGTTTAGTTGTATTCTTTTCAAAGTAAGAATATCGATCCAACAGGGAGCACATGGAGCAATCTTTTGTCTCTTGTAGGGTTTAAATAGCTATGCCTGCAAGTTGAAAGAAGTCCAAAGTAGTGGTGATACGGTGTAGCAAGCATCAAATCAAAGTACTGAAATGGAATTTAGTAACAAGGATTGTAAACAAGGGTGATGAAACCAATAATACTAAAGCCTTCCAGGGAGTCTGGATTCCACACTAGCGTGCATCTATAGCGGTGCCTAAAGACAATGCTACGTCAGATTCCTAAGCTACTTTGCATATTTCTATTTGTGGGTAGAACAGGTACATATACGTGCATAGACGCGGCAGCCCCGTATCACATACACCACCACCATTCTTCCGCACTCCTGTTACCAAACAATGACTAAGAGGAGAAAGGTCCCCGTGGATGTAACCTATAAGTGGTCTCTATTACCACCCTGCTCCAACAATCCGGGATGAAGGGAGAGTCCTGTCATGTACCTACCTCTTCAATCAGTCGGTGCGTCAGCAATAATAACCGTCCGTCAAAAGTTGGCATATGTTGGATGGTCGGCTCCACCCAACATCAAGGAGACTATTAACATAAACATGCAAAGAGGATATTAAATCCTAATACCAAACGATCTATTGTACACCAGGGTTCCTCCATATCCCCAAGAACTAGGGAGACTACTCACACATAGAGGCAACAAACATCAAAAGGGTGTTGAAAGTAAACATGAATGGATTACCGAAAAAGGCTTTCGCCCCTGCTTTATTAATAAAGAAAATCACCGAGCCAAGAAGTACACACAAGTCAGAGACATACTCCACAGGAACAAACACACAACAGGCCGCACGCGGCAAAATTCAAGAGGGTTCTCCTGAGGGCACAACTCAACAAGCCCCAAAGAAAACAAAAGAGAACATGGTGGTAAGAAGGCGCCCACAACCACGGCACGACCAAGGTCATGAAGGCCCGTCATCTAATCTAGCTCGAGAGGTGGTGGGGGAAGCGAAGGCACCAAACGACGAGCCATCACCCGAAGATCTGCAAGGAGGATGTCGATGGCGTCTCGACCTGACGCCCGGCCAAGCGACTGTTGGGGGAACGTAGTAATTTCAAAAAATTTCCTACGCACATGCAAAATCATGGTGATGCATAGCAACGACAGGGGAGAGTGTGATCTACATACCCTTGTAGACCGACAGCGGAAGCGTTAGCACAACGCGGTTGATGTAGTCGTACGTCTTCACGGCCCGACCGATCAAGCACCAAAACTACGGCAGCTCTGAGTTCCAGCACACGTTCAGCTCGATGACGATCCCCGGACTCTGATTCAGCAAAGTGTCGGGGAAGAGTTCCGTCAGCACGACGGCGTGGTGACGATCTTGATGTTCTACCATCGCAGGGCTTCGCCTAAGCACCGCTACAATATTACCGAGGATTATGGTGGAAGGGGGCACCGCACATGGCTAAGAATATGATCACGTGGATCAACTTGTGTGTCTAGGGGTGCCCCCTGCCCCCGTATATAAAGGATCAAGGGGAGGTGCGGCCGGCCAGGAGGAGGGCGCGCCAGGAGGAGTCCTACTCCCACCAGGAGTAGGATTCCCCCCCTTTCCTAGTTGGAATAGGATTCGGGAGGGGGAAAGAGGAGAGAGAAGGGGGGGGCGCCGCCCCTCTCTCCTTATCCTATTCGGACTAGGGGGGAGGGGCGCGCGGCCCAGCCCTGGCCACCTCTCCTTTCTTCCACTAAAGAACACTAATGCCCATATACCTCCCGGGGGGTTCCGGTAACCTCCCGGTACTCTGGTAAAATCCCGATTTCACCCGGAACACTTCCGATATCCAAATATAGGCTTCCAATATATCAATCTTTATGTCTCGACCATTTCGAGACTCCTCGTCATGTCCGTGATCACATCCGGGACTCCGAACTAACTTCGGTACATCAAAACTCATAAACTCATAATATAACTGTCATCGAAACCTTAAGCATGCGGACCCTACGGGTTCGAGAACAATGTAGATATAACCGAGACACTTCTCCAGTCCATAACCAATAGCGGAACCTGGATGCTCATATTGGCTCCTACATATTCTACGAAGATCTTTATCGGTCAGACCGCATAACAACATACGTTGTTCCCTTTGTCATCGGTATGTTACTTGCCCGAGATTCGATCGTCGGTATCTCAATACCTAGTTCAATCTCGTTACCGGCAAGTCTCTTTACTCATTTTGTAATACATCTTATTGAAACTAACTAATTAGTTGTAATGCGTGCAAGGCTTATGTGATGTGCACTACCGAGAGGGCCCAGAGATACCTCTCCGACAATCGGAGTGACAAATCCTAATCTCGAAATACGCCAATCCAACATTCACCTTTGGAGACACCTGTAGAGCTCCTTTATAATGACCCAGTTACGTTGTGACGTTTTGTAGCACACAAAGTGTTCCTCCGGTAAACGGGAGTAGCATAATCTCATAGTCATAGGAACATGTATAAGTCATGAAGAAAGCAATAGCAACATACTAAACGATCGGGTGCTAAGCTAATGGAATGGGTCATGTCAATCACATCATTCTCCTAATGATGTGATCCCATTAATCAAATGACAACACATGTCTGTGGTTAGGAAACATAACCATCTTCGATTAACGAGCTAGTCAAGTAGAGGCATACTAGTGACGTTTGGTTTGTCTATGTATTCACACAAGTATTATGTTTCCGGATAATACAAGTCTAGCATGAATAATAAACATTTATCATGATATAAGGAAATAAAATAATAACATTATTATTGCCTCTAGGGCATATTTCCTTCAACGACCACCAAAACTGCAAGTAACCACACCGTTTATAGATTGTGTCAGAAGGTTGTCGAAGAGGCGTACGCTCAATCAGGAGCTTATTACGGATCGTCCAAAGTGTCCACGCCAGAACCCCAATGCCCAGCCACCTAATGTGGCGGAGCGTCAACGCAGTAGCCTAAAGCTCTGCGAAGAGCTCGGGAAAATTGGTGTTACACCAGGTCCCCCCCCCACACACAATCAAAACATGAATTGATTACACATGTAACACACAAGATAATCCACTAGGGTTCCTGAGGTTACAATGAGATGGGTGTGCATGATGATGATAGTGGCGATGATGTTATAGCCCCCTTGTGCTTGGTGGTGAATATCGTGATCTCCTCCTTGCCAATCCCTCGTCCAGATGATCTTCGGAGGCTAGTGTTCTACCTTCTAGATGAGTTCCTGGTGCCTCTACATGTCTGATCCCCGATCTGATTCCATAGGATGGAAATATTGGATGAGGCCAATCCCTCCTCCGGATGATCTTCGGAGATTAGGCCGGTTCTACCTTCTAGATGAGTTCCTGGTGCCTATGCGTGTCTGATCCCCAATCCGATTCCACGGGGTGGAAATAGTGGACGAGGCAGCTCCCCTGGCACACCATACAACCACACATTAGAGAAGGCACACTCGTATGATAGGCTATCTTTGGCTCTGGAGCCGCCGCACGCTCCTCCTTTGGTCCCTTTGCTTTATTCTTTTATGGTAGTTGATTATCACATGAAATAACGTGATTCCAGCCTAATTTCCTGGAATTCCTTCCATAAGACTTTATTTTCTCCCAAAGGTGTTACTTGAGGAATAACAACAAAAAGTAGTGCGCGAGTGCAGTAAAATTTCATAAAACCTATCATGTAGGCGCAAAATTATTAACATAATTCTCACATAAATTGAACTCATCACCCAACACAAAATAAATGATAAATATATGATGATAGCCTCACCACCTCGAACTTTCTGAAACTATCACCAACGTCGTATCCTCATCAGAAATCTAGTGTGTCTCACTTTAAATTACCCATCAAACAAGATATCTCCAAGTGCAACCCCGTCTTGCGGAAGGAGATCCTCTGACTTGCCTCTTGTAAAGTTAGAAGGCTACAATGTCCTATGTTTGAGCATTTCTCAGCCGTCAGATCCAACACATTTGGCTCATATTTACTGCTAAACCCACAAACAACTTCTATAGTACATGACGAAAAATAGTGCACATGTAACAAGACACATAATAGTAGGCATGTTACAGTGGTTGCTGCAGTACTTTTTTGACAAAGGGTGCTTTTTATTGACTCATAATGAAGCATCACGGGGATACAAACAAAATGAGCATACACACAGCCTTTGCATAATTAGAATGCACATAAATAACATTGATGCGCACACACAAAGGACGACGATGGCAAAAGCAAAGTCATACAAGACCAAAGCTTGCCTATGTGGAGTTAAAAGAATCTTGAAGCGAACAAAACAACGATCGACAAAATGCAGCAATGACCATCACACCAACCATAATTGAGAACATAATGACTACGACTAAGATTCTTCAACATCAACGCCTTCATGAAGGGCGATGAGCGAGCGCCGCCATCGCCGGAGTGAACCAATGAAGGAAAGGTCATAGGTTTTCACCTTGAAGATCAAGTATGAACAAACTCCAAGCAAAACCTTCAACAAGGTTACAATGCATAGTGAACTTTGCCAGGTATGACCAACTAGGGTGAAACCTAGCATTTTCACCTAAAGCTCTAAACTAGGTAAATGAAAAGCACCATCAATTCGAAGTCCTCCTATGTTGTCGCCTGCAATTTCCATGATCCCAACAGCTACATACGCGCATGGTCATGACATATTACATGCAAACGATGATCATGCCCGCACAAGCAGGCTACCGAGCCGCGACAAGAGCTGCTTGCCATACAAAGCAATTGACGGGGCATGAAGGTCCCAAACATCGCCAAAATCCCCAACCTGGACGGTCAGGTAGCCTGATGGCTATCGGTGGCAAATCTGTATCAAACAACAGCACCATATGACACCTTTTGCTCAACCATCCTCGGTTGTTACAACAAATCACTGACCGACCATCATACCAAGGAGGAGGAAACTCCGGTATGGTCAGAGAGGCAATTCTCGATGCCACCAGTGCTTCACAACCTTAACCATTGCCTCAAGTCACTGCATACAAATCGCCTCCCTTCATTGTGCGCAGACAGTGGGGGGGTTGATCCTGCCGTGCAGCAGCTACCATGCAGCCAGGGCAGGCGTCTTGCAGCCGCAGATATGGGGTTACCCGAGACCAAGCTGAGGCCACGGGCTCCACGGATCTGGAGCTACTATGGTTCATCTTGGTACCCAACATATTTGTAGGCTGCCTAGCACTAGTTCAGATCATGGAATGGCACATTCGATAGTGGAGCAAGAGGTACTTCATGTTTTTGGTTTTCTAATAACAGACCAAAAGGAGAATAAAAGACAGAAAAGCAACAACGTTTTAGGCAACGCAAAAATCAGTGTCCCTCGCTTGTTCTCTCACATGTTGATAGCTCATAGCTTTGGGTGACATCCACAATGACGCTTGGGTGCGCCGTGCGCGTCGTCGTGATGGTGGAGCAGTACTAGTCTTCCCTTCATTTTATATCCCGCTCGCTGACTTTGGTAGCTAAACTTTGCAGAGGCAACTCATCAGGTAATGAAAATGCTATTGGAAAGGAACAATCACCTTGTGACACAAGCGGACCGATCCACAGGAAGCACGCCCCTTCACTTGGCCGCCACATGGCGGGGACCGATGGGATTGCTACTCAAGGCTGGCCCAGCTGCAGCGTATATGCCAGACAATAATGGGTCATTTCCCATACATTTAGCTGCGTTCGAGGGTGAAGAGAATGCAGTCTTGGCCTTCCTACAAGAGAGCGGCCCTTACTGCGCCGAGCTACGCGACGGCAAAGGCAGGACATTCCTCCATGTCGCGGCTGAAGAGGAGAAGAGCATCCGCGTCATCAAGTTGGCTTGCGGATGGCAGGGCAAGTCGTTTTCATCGTCGGTCATGAACATGCAAGACAACGACGGGAACACTGCGCTGCACCTCGCTGCTCTGGCAGGGAATATAGGGGCAGTCTGTGATCTGGTGTCAATACCAGAGGTCAAGCTAGATGTAAGCAACAACAAGAGAGAAACACCACTAGAGACTGCGTACATGACTAAAACCCTTGGGGCACACAGCGCAGGGTCGGCCTTCTACGGGGTAATTAAGCAATTTATCTTATCTTATCTGTTAATGGATTGACATTTCTTTTTCTTTTTTCGCTTCATTCATACTACTCATTTGTTCTTCCAGGACCCACGGAAAAGGATATATCTCTTGTTGCAAGGAACTTGCTATAGGACTGGTGTCTCCGCAGGGATCAGACCCTGGGGGAGAGAACGGAGAGAATTCATCAAGTCTGCTTTAGACAAAATGAACAGATCGGAGAACATCGCCAGCGAAACGCAGATCATCGGTCTTGTCGCTGTGCTGATCACGACGGTGACATTCGCCGCAGCCTTTGCCGTGCCTGGTGGCTACCGAGCAGATGACGACAACAAGGGCGGCACGCCGATGCTTGCGGGGCACTACTCCTTCCATGCCTTCGTCATTGCCAACACACTAGCATTCACCTGCTCCGTCGTATCCATCCTCTTTCTCATGTATGCAGGGGTAGGCCCGAACGTGAACGACCGCATGTGGCCCTTACTCATGTCCACAAACCTTTTGGCTAGTTCGGCTAGGAGCCTCTGCGCCGCCTTCGCCGTCGGGGTGTACTCCATCCTAGCTCCGGTCGAGCCAATCAAGGCCATGTTTTCTTGCATCATCACCGTGTTCCCGCTCGTGCTGGTGGAACTCTTTTTATACATCAAGTCGGCGTCAATGGATTACAGCGACAGCAGAGCGGAGTTGGCAAGGAAGTTTGCAGGTCAGGCACTCTGGATGGAGATGGCACGGGCGATCCTAGCGCACCTACTCATTGGGATAGTGATGTTCGAGTACTGGCCATACATTTTCATCGCGGCCATGTCTTGCTAATATTTCAGTTGTATTATCTCACTAATCATCCCAAATTGGCAAACCACGTGTATCTTTTAATTTAGTGTGAAATACGAGCTACGTTAATGCGCCTGGCATTTAGTTATGTTACTTCTCGCTTTCTTCCATAACCATTCTTGCTAGTACTTATCTGCCTTAAATAATAGTTACCTCTACTAGTCGATTGTGAACCAGTGAACTAGATTGGGATTAGAATAAGTTTCCGTTTTTTTGTTTCCTCTTTCAATCCTATTTGGATCTGATACCTTTCAACTGGAGGCCTTTGGATCATGCGGGCAGATGATATTAAGCTTGATATTACCTACTCTAGTTAGCATGTAGTTTTAGTGTCAGCTTTTAATACTAACTAACACAGAGGTCTGCTCAAATGTGTGGCCATTTTTTTTTGGAAAGGGATTAAGCATAGTGAATATTGTTAAAGGGGTGCCATAATTTCTATTTGTAAGGATATACTTTAACATATACCCTCTATGATTTTAATAACTATGTATCTCTAACCATTATCCAATCTGGATCTTATAAGAACATCATCATGTGGTAAATGATACATAAAAAAGTTTACATTTTAAAGGAATCGATCCCGTTGAATCCAAATCAAATTGTTTGTATTATGAAAATCTTAATCTAGATAAATTCTGTTTCATTGACCTCGTAATGTCTGATGCAATGACCAACTCTCATTTGTAATAACGTGTGTAGTTGGTACTAATATCTAGACTCCATTGATGACTTGTTGAAAGATAAACACACTTGTGTCACTTCCTTTCGAACAAACACATAATCCTCTATAGCCTAACATATATTTCTCTCTTTACATGCCTTTTGTGTTCTAATCCATGGGTCAAATTCGTAAATCCCTATTTTATGCACCATACTTGCATGCTCCAACATCCGCAAATTAGATCTAGGCATAGAACAGACACCCGGCAGAACATTACCCATGTTGGTTTGTTTCCATGCATGCTCCAAATATGCACAAACAGGTCATATGATATGTCGGATCCTAGTA